TGACAAGACAATTTGGTTAGCTAACATCTTTGACATTACTTCTCTAGAAGTATTATTCATCTGTGCCAGAGGAAGGAGGGGCAACCCATGTCTATCGTTATCACAGAGGCAAGTCGAAGCTGTACATGTGCTCGGACATAGGGAATGGTCAGGTAAGTGTACTCAACTATCCGGCACCATGCCTTCAGTCTACCAAGATATGACACCCTATATTCAAGAGCCCTTGCTAGACTTTGTGTTACTGGATGCCAGTGTGACTTGGCATTACAGGGCTTAACAGAAATGTATAAATTCATAACCTTAGAGAACTTACAGCAATGAACATGAAATAGGAGGTTGTCAAAAATATAAGATTGATGCCACTGTAGGATCTTTAGGTGAACCTGCAGTCCTGGGCCATGGGATTCTCGGCCAGGTTTAAAGAAAAGAGCTTCCAAGCCTGGAACATGTTGCATGCAATGATCGCTCCTGTGACTATCCCCTGCACTCTATTCTGGGCAACATAGACCCTTTCTGTATTTTTTTTTAAAAAGAGCTCCAAATATCCTCTTCTACATCTAGGGATAGGATTTTTCTTTTTTTTTTTTTTTTTGAGACAGGGTCTTACTCTGTCACCCAGGCTAGAGTGCAGTGGAGCAATCGTGGCTTACTGCAGCCTTGACTTCCTGGGCTCAGGTGATCCTCCCACCTCAGCCTCCCAAGTAGCTGGGACTACAGGTGCTTGCCACCACACCCAGCTAATTTTTAATGTTTTTAATAGAGATGGAGTTTTGCCATGTTGCCCAGGCTGGGGGAAAAGATTTTTAATAATAACATTTTTTACTGTAAGGTCATAACTGTCATGTCTTTGGTAATTTTTTATTTTATTTTATTTTATTTTTTTTTTGAGAGGGAGTCTCACTGTCACCCAATGTGGAGTGCAGTGGTACAATCGTGGCTCACTGCAACCTCTGCCTCCCAGGTTCAGACAATTCTCCTGCCTCAGCCTCCCAAGTAGCTGGGACTACGGGCACCTGCCACCACGCCCAGCTAATTTTTGTATTTTTCTTTTTTTTGTTGTTGAGACGGAGTCTCGCTCTGTTGCCCAAGGCTGGAGTGCAGTGGCATAATCTCGATTCACTGCAAGCTCCGCCTCCTGGGTTCATGCCATTCTCCTGCCTCAGCCTCCCGAGTAGCTGGGACTACAGGCGCCAGCCACCACGCCTGGCTAATTTTTTGTATTTTTAGTGGAGACAGGCTTCCACCGTGTTAGCCAGGATGGTCTTGATCTCCTGACCTTGTGATCTGCCCACCTCGGCCTCCCAAAGGTGCTGGGATTACAGGGATGAGCCACCACGTCCGGCCCATTTTTGTATTTTTAATAGAGACAGAGTTTCACTGTGTTGGCCAGGCTGGTCTCGAACTCCTGATCTCAGGTGATCTGCCTGCCTCAGCCTCCCAAAGTGCTAGGATTACAGGCGTCAGCCACCGTGCCTGGCCCATGTCTTTCATAATTTTTAAAAAGAAAGTACAAGGGAAGTGTGGTGATGGGGGTCTCGTTTAACAAAATACTTTTTTGTAAAGGTAGTAACAATTACGGGCCTCTCACTACAAACTTACCTTTTACCACATATCATTCTGGGGAAGCCAAAGATTCTGTTTATTGAACTGATTCAAAGGAGGAGGTGGTGGTGGTGGTGGTGGTTTCTGAGGAGACTAGGTTTTTGCTTTTGTTTTAAACTACCTGCTTGTACTCAAAGATAGCAAACTGAAGTCCAGAGTCGATTCCGGAGTCTTAAGTTGGATTCTTGACTTCTTTGGTCTGTCAGCCATTTTGGGGTGTTAGAGGGAGGAAGTTTAGGACAAGGATGGGAGAGTGGACACAGGGACATGAGCAAGGGCTGAGTGTACACTTGAAGCACCTCCCACACGCCTCCCCTGGCCTGGGAGGTGAGTAGTGGTGCCAGAGCTTGAGTCCTGAGCCCCCTTTTCTGGCCTAGCCTGAACTCTCACCTAAGTGCACCTGACCCTAAAGGGTGCACTTAGGTACATGTGGGGAAGAGTCATTCCCAACTCTCCTTTTAAAATGTAAGTTCCCTCTAAGGGAAATTGGCTTTATCAGTCAGCCTGTTGCCTTCTAGGACCACCCCTACTCCTAGAAGAAGCACAGAAGAGAATGTATTGAGAGCCTAAGTGTCACTTTTGCATTTTAAATTTTCCCTGGAATCCAAGAGTCCCATGTTACAGACTGGAAAACCAAGGCTCAAGAGAAGTTAATCTCTCTTAGTAAATAGCAGAGATAGGACTTAAACTCAGGTGTGTCTGATTCCAAAGCCCATGTAAGGATGAAAATTATAATAAACATCTGACTAAAAATACCTTACAGAATTCACTTAAAAATGCCTTAATGACTTAGATGACAACTTAGAAAAAGCTGACAGAACAATTACTAACTCCTCATAAGGTAGAAGAAAACTTCTCTTTACAATCCAAAAGTGAAAGTTTGGGCACAAATCAGTGTTCTACTTGTCTCTTCAGAGAAAAGACAGAAAAAAGACATCCCTTGGTCCTGGAGGCATCTATCAAATATCAGAGTGTGCTCCAGAGGCATCCCAGCCTGTGAGTACGGAACTGCTTACGCACTGGGTTTCACCACCGTTACAACTCCATGAACCAGTTGACATGGTTCTTAGAGGGCTATTTGAATTGGGTCTATAGTATTTTTAAGTTGAGATGTTCTTACACTTAAGAAGGGAGTGCACAAAATTTTGGTTCAGTGTAAAACTGGGTTTTCTTGGTATTCTTCCTTCACTCAAAGCTTCAGGGATACTCTTTGTGCCTGAACTCATAGTTGTGGTTGGAAAGAATGTGAAGTATTCACATCTCAGTTCCTACCTACAGCTCAGCTGAGCTGGCACTGGGTCCTGCTGGAATTCCACCATCTGTTCAAGCAGCAGGAGGGGCACGATCCTCCTGCTAACAAAGTGAAAACCATTGCTGAAATTCCGAAACATACACATTTGGTGAGATCAGGTTCCATAACATTTGAAGGCATTTGTTCTCATTTTCCAAAAATGTTTCTTTGTAAAAACATATAATGAGTTTTTCATTTTTAAGGTAAAGTACTCATTAGTTCATGAAGCCAGGGGATCCTTTTTGGAACTTGGAAGGGCTAGAATTCTGAGGAAAGCAACTTCATCCAGCATGGTGCCGCAATACATTTCTTACTTTTTGTTTGTATACAGTTTGCTACTAGTCAGGATTTGGAGTATACTAGAGTTATTAACAATTCAGAATATTCTGCTTCTAGTACAAATATAAGTTGTTAAGGCTTAGACGCCTCTCAACACTTGCAGACTTTTGGTAATACTGATGTTCCACAGTGTTGGAGTTCTACAGCCACATGCCAACCTTACCTCTATGTCTCCTTGTGTGCAAATGAAGCATCCTTGGCTTTCTGCAATTCTGATACAACCATATTTTCTAAAAGTGACTTCTATTTACATGGTTGACAACCAATAAATAGTTAATGACATTGTTATACACATTTACATCAGTTAAAGGATTATAGACTTCCAATTTTGCAGAAACTGGACAGGCATGCAAGAATACAACATTAAACAGCTTTGGAAAAACTTGGCTTCAAATCCATCTGCAAGGTAGAAGGAATAGAGGAAATTTCATAAAAATGTAAACATGATCATTTATTCCTCTGAGTGCAATTTGCTGGCCAGTAGTTTGGCTTTTCCTGTGTGTGGTAGTGGAATCTACAGCTTTTGCCTGTGGCCCCTTCTCAGCATTAAGCAAACATGTAATGGCATCCCAGCTGTCAATCTGGCCCTTAATTACAGGCTCTTTTCTGGTTTGTGACTTTGTCCTTTTGTCATTTGAAATGAGACCCATCCTCTGTCTGCACACCTGATGTAACCTGCCTCCCGGCCATGAGTGAAGTCTACCCTTGGAACACTGATTGTACTCAGTTCGGCTCTAAATAAAAATCTTTCCATTAACTCTGGCTTCCAATGTTTTGTACTCTGGGAGAACCAGTCCTCCAAGGGAAAGTTTTGTCAGCCAGCTGAATTGCTGCTTCAGTGACAAAATGGAATCCACTCAAATTGTTTTGAGCTTTAGGACAAAAGAAATGCCTATCATCTTCCTAATAGTGAACTTAGCAAAGCACAGTTTAAAAGAATGGCTCTCATCACTCCCGATTACCTTGCCATTACTGCTCGTCTGTGCTAAGTGCCACTGTCTACTTCTGATCCCCAAAACAGTGGCCTCTAGCCTTTCCCTCTGCCTAACTCCAAGTAGAGTGTTCTTTTTATAATCCTTCATGTTCCTGTAACACTTTAGCATTTACAGAGCATTTTCACATGCTTATTTGTGAGGTATTATCACAGTTCTAGAAATAAGGAAAGGCTGAGACCTACCAAAATGACAGTGTTGTACGTGAGCAGGCTGAGCCTTGAAAGCAGGACCTGTCTCCCACATTAGCACTTCATTCCATCACACCTCTGCATGCACAGGTAGCCTGCTGGGGGGCCATGGTGGCAGTGGGGTATAAAATCTCTAAACTGCTAATACCCTCTTTTCCTTCTAGGCTGAGAACATTTCTAAGGACCTCTACATAGAAGTATATCCAGGGACCTATTCTGTCACTGTGGGCTCAAATGACTTAACCAAGAAGACTCATGTGGTAGCAGTTGATTCTGGACAAAGTGTGGACCTGGTCTTCCCTATGTGATGTTGACCATCACTGCCTTCACATCACCTTTTTTTAAGTAGTAAGAATAAAGCCACTGTATGATTCTCTTGATAGCTATACATTAATCCTGTTTTTAATGCTGACTGGGTCAGCCTTCCCAGGAACTGGAGTCTGTCTTTTTCAGTGCCTTTTTTAACTGGAGGTGTAGAAGTCCTCCATGCTTGTTTGCCTGAAAGTAATATGATTCGCTCTCTGAACAGGTTTTACTGCTTGCTTTCCAAGTAGAGGTTAATTATGATAATAAAGAGACTGGAAATGAAGAGAATTCATTTTTATTGAGAGGTAAAACAAAAATGTCACTCATGTACAACGGTAGGCTTTATGGAAAGGTGGCAGAGTGGCTGTGGACACATTTGCCCAAAGCAGGCTGACCCTCTCTTCCTTGGAAGAGGCATCTTAAAGCAGTCTCACCAGGGCCCTGGCAGGGACCCCCAGGGCAGGACCCCACACTCCTATACCCCTCACAACAGGTGCCTTCCTGCTGCTTATCTGCAGGGAGGTCTTCGTGGGGTGGAGATACTGCTGGTTATTTGACTGTTACCTGTGGCCTGTCCTGTGCCTCCTTCCGTTGAAGGCCTTGTCAGCCACTCTGTATAACTCTCAAGTTATACATGTTTATTCTTTACCTATAAAAGGGGAAAAAATCCATAGATTGTTATGCTGACTGTAATTTTATTCAAAAGTCACTGATTTTAAAAAGTCATTGATGTGCTGAGTGTGGTGGCTCATACCTGTAATCCCAACGTTTTGGGAAGTTAAGGCAGGAGAATCACTTGAGCCCAGTAATCAAGACCAGCCTGGGCAACACAGTGAGACCCTCTCTCTACAAAAAGTAAAAAGTTTAGTCAGGTGTGGTGGCATGTGCCTAGTTACTCAGGTCCTAGCTACTCAGGAGACTCAGATGGGAGGCTCACTTCAGCCCAGGAGTTCAAGGCTGTAGTGAGCCATGATTATACCACTGCGTTCCAGCCTGAGTGACAGAGTGAGATCTTGTCTCAAAAAAAAAAAAAAAAAAAACATTGCTGTGTCCCAAATGTCTTGAAGCTGCCACAGCAGTACTGTGACATCTCCCAGTTTCATTACCTGGTTCTCTCGTTTTGAACACAAACCTTTCCACCTTTCCTTGGGAAAGGTGCCAGTATTTTATATGATGGAAATGAAGTTTTAAGTAGAGCTATATTACCATTGTTAGTGAGGAACAGACTCCATATTCAGAGGGCCTAATAAAGCAGACCCCTACCCAATACCATAGAACAGAGGGTCATTTAAATGGGGATCCTTGCATCCCCAAGAAGCCTGTGATTAAATTCATAGGTTCCATAAGCATTCTGAAATTACATGCAAAATTGAGGGTATGTACATTTTTCTGGGACAAGGGGTCATAGGTTTTACTGTTCTCAAAGCGGATGTGACCCAAAAAGTCTTAAGACCCATGTGAGAAGTCCTTAGGAAGCCCCTTTCCAGCCATTCTGCTTTACCTAGATCCTCAGGGCTCTCAGTCTAAGGGGAATTCTTGTTCCATGGACCTATTGCAAGGCTCTGACTCTGCTTTCTGTGTTCAACTTCCCCTGGCGGGGTCTGCGGTGGCTTCGTGTTGGTTGCCTTCAAGACCAGCTCCGTGGTAGTCCCCACTACTACAGTTTGTGCTCTCTGCTGTTTGTGATCCTTTTCTTCTTTCCAGATGTTGGAATATCTTGTTCCTAAACCCAAAAGTCAATTACTTAGGTTGAATATGCCACCATTTTGATGGGATAAGTAGAACTAAAACAAGGATCACTGAAGTATCTGTAAGCTCACAGCATTGTTTTCTTTTCATTTATTATGTATTTGAGACAGGGTCTTGCTATATCACCCAGGCTGGAATGCAGCGGCATGATCATAGCTCACAGCAGCCTCGACCACCTGGTCTCAAGCCATCCTCCCACCTGCTGCCCCCTCTTCACTACAGCCCCCAGTAGCTCGGACCACAAGCGCACACCACCATGCTCAGCTAATTTTTTAGTTTTTTATAGGAACAGGGTCTCGCTATGTTGCCCAGCTGGTCTTGAACTCCTGGGCTCAAGCGATCCTCCAGCCTCAGCCTCCCAAAGTGTTGCGATTACAGGTGTAAGCCACTACACTTGGCCTATTTTACCATCATGCAATGTGTCTATGTAATGTTTTCTATTTTTAGAGAAAAAAATTTTTATCATTTTTGGCTCTTATGCTTTTGGGAAACATTACCTGATACCCAAGATTTGGAGTAGTGAAGAAGTTATTGGATGTGTTTTCTAAACTGCCATTAGGGCAAGTAAAGGTAACTGACTGCCACCAGTTAAAGGAGCTTCGACACCTTCACTGATCACTGATAACATGGACCATAAAGAAGAGACTACAAGCTGATGGAAAAACAAGTTTTAAGAAATTGAACTGGGTGCATTAGTGCACACCTGTAGTCTCAACTATTTGGGAGGCTGAGGCGGGAGGATTGCTTGAGCCCAGGAGTTTGAGGCTGTAGTGAGCTATGATCATGCCACTGCACTCCAGCCTGGGTGACATAGTGAGACCTTGTCTCTAAAAATAAAAAAATATATATATTAGGGCAAAACAAAAATAATGGGAGATGTGACTTCCTGAGGAACAGACCAATCTAAAAGGGAAGGAACGCTTTTTGTGTTTCTTTTACAACTACAGATTGAATCCTGTTTCAGTTATAAGCAAAGGAGGCAGAAAGCACCTCCCTGCCAGCAGCTAACAATCTGGCCTCACTAGGACTGTTAGAATCTTAACTGTAACCTCTCACTGCCTGTAACTGAAAGTAAGGGAAAGTGTGGAGGACAGAGAAACCTATGCAAGAGCTTTTGTGAGAGGCAAAGCTCAAAATTGAGTGTCGAGCATCAGCACTCGACAGAACGGATATCGAGTCCTGAGAGCAGGAACTGATTAAACATCAAGCATGTTTAGGAGAAGCAAAACAGCATATTTCCTTTAAAAGATACAAAACCTGGAGGGGAGAAAAGCAAAGCGCTGGTGTTTGCCTTGTTTCAGCCCTGACCCACATGTGGTTTTCTGTGCTTCTCTTAACTAGTGAGCTGTGACAGGCAGTCCCACGTGTGTGGTGAAGGCTGGGGATGGCCATGTCTCCACACCCCCTCTCGGGCATGCTCTCTGTATATTTGGGAACATGCTGACGATGCTCACGGGTCAGCCCCAGGAACTCTCCCTAGAGCATAACACAAGATCCAGTATTTAACGGGAAAGCTGGGCCAACTACCTGAAGATACTATAGTTCTCTTCTTTATAGTCGATTATTAGAATTTATTTCGGGGGAGAAAATAACTTTGGAGTGGATCTGTTTAAATGTGGTGATTTAGAGAGACTGTAGGTGTAGGCTTCGGGCAGTAGCAGTAAGAGCTGTGTAAACTTAGGGCCAGGGGAAATTTGTTTGGACTTAATCAGGTTTGGAACCCTTCTAGAGATTGCTATGGAGCAAGCCACAGCAATAGGAACACAGATGTGGTACCTAGGGCATCTCTGGCCCCCATGGCCCCTCTGGTTGTCCCTCTCCCCTATGCTGGGCTTGGTATTGTCTCAGTTGCTCCCCACAGACCGTTTTCTGTTGGGTAGGTACAGCTTTTCTTTCTCCAGGCTCTGCTGGAGCAAGAGGCATTGGGAGCTATGGAAAATTTAGCATGAAAACGCTAGAGTTTGGTACCATTTTCTTTATGCCCTCTCTACAAGTGATAATATAAAGAGAATGGTGCCAAACTCTAGTGTTTGCATGCTAAATTCTCCATAGCTGCATTTCTTTCAAATGGAGAAAGAAACTGGCATATCTTTCTTTCTTTTTTTTTTTTTTTTTGGAGACAGAGTCTCACTGTGTCACCCAGGCTGGAATGTAGTGGCTCACTGGAACCTCTGCCTGTAGGGTTCAACTGATTCTGGTACCTCAGCCTCCCAACTAGCTGGGATTACAGACGTGCATCACAGCGCCTGGCTAATTTTTGTATTTTTAGTAGAGACGGGGTTTCACTTTGTTGGTCAGGCTAGTCTCAAACCCCTGACTGCAAGTGATCCGCCCCCGCTTTGGCCTCCCAAAGTGCTGGGTGAGCCACTGCATCCGGCGAAATCACCATTTCTGAGTGGCCGCTGCCAAGGCTTGCCATTGCAAGATTGGAGTAACCCATTTCACAGAAGCCTGGGACCCACCTCCCCATTTTATATTTTCAATATAAAGTTTCCTCCTGGAGAGTGGAGGACGAGCACAGCTGGGTCTGAGATATAGGGGAAAAATCCTCATATAAAATCCAAGTGCAGCAGACATACCCCTCCCCTCCCAAAGCCCAGGGGTTCAGAGGAGTCACCAGGAAAGCTTCTCTTTACAAACAATTTCTCAACTTTCTGGAACCGAACACTAATAAAGTCGTTACCCCTGGGGCAAGATTGAAATCTTCATTGGTGCCAGCTTGATGGTTCATGCCTGTAATCCCAGCACTTTGGGAGGCCGAGGCAGGCAGATCACTTGGGCCAGGGGTTCGAGACCTGCCTGGCCAACATGGCAAAACCCCATCTCCACTAAAAATACAAAAGTTAGCCAGGCATGATGGCATGCACCTATAATCCCAGCTACTGGGGAGGCTGAGGCATGAGAACCACTCAAACCTGGGAGGCAGAGGTTGCAGTGAGCCAAAATCATGCCACTGCACTCCTGCCTGGGCAACAAAGTGAGACTATCTCAAAAAAACAAACAAACAAAAAACAAACAACAACAACAAAAAACTCTCATGGGCTAAGCAGTCCTTCTGGCTCAGTGACTGTGCTAGAAATAGGGCTATGGTTTCAACCAGGGAACCCTAGTGGGTCCCAGTGTGGGCAGTGCCTAGAGATCTAAGCCCTTAGCAATGGTGTTCCTTCACCTCACAGCCTCCCTGCCCCAGATATGTTCAGTGACCCCAGGACCCCCAGAATCTTGTCAAGGGCCACCTCCTTCACACAGCTCTGACAGGCTTCTGCTTTTTCCGGGCTCCATTGGGAATTTAGATAGAATGGGCTCCCGGAACCTAGCAGGGCCCGCCACACAGTTCTCAGCTGGAGGTGATGCAGTGTGGGGCTGGCTGCAGACTGCCAGCAGCAACAGGACACGGCTTTCCTGTTGGCCATGAGGGATAAGAAGCACATCACAGTGCCCAGGTCCTCCCCGCTGACTGACTGAGGGGCCCAGCAGGAGAGTGGGGCCTCATGACCAATGCTTAAGACCAGTTTCTATGCTTCAGTGCATCAGCTCTCATCAACACCAGGAGGCATTTGTACTGTTCATCTAGAGAAAAACCAAGGCCTCCAAGAAAAAAGGGGGGGGCTAAAAACAGACAATGGCAGTGCCCTGTCCGTAGAGACTAGTGAAGAAAGAAAAAGGCAGGTATTAAATAGGGATGCAGCCTTAGCACAAAGATCAGTTCATCCTTCTGCTCCTGTGGGCCTCATAGCTGAAATGGAAACCTGCTATTTCCCTTTTCCCACAGTCTCCTCTTCAGCATGACCAGACTCCCAAGGATTACTGTAGTCCCAACAGAGTGGACACGTGCATCAGCTTCCTAAGGGACATGTGGGAGGGAAGGGAGCCGGGGCCCCAGCCCCTGCCTTAGAAGGCAAGCCCACTCCCCTGGCATACCTGGCTTCCCAGGGCGTGGCTCAGGCCCGTTTCTCCTCCAATACCTCCACTCAGGCTGGCAGAGGCCACTCTGCCTCAAAGGAGTCTCAAGAAGGATGGGATCTGTGTTGACTGCACTGTTTACCATCAGTCTCTGGGGAGGGCCCATCTCCAGATCATTCTCCACATCGTCTTGTTCACGGGAGGAGGAGGAGGAGGAGGAAACAGCCAGGGGAGCGTGCGTTGCTACTTTTTCCCCTTTAGGACCTTCCAGGGGCAAAAGCTGTGCTGGGGGCTCCAACTCTGGAAGTTCTCTGGCTGTGACTTCTGAGGTCCTGGTTAGAGGCCACCAAGTGGTGCCACATGGGGGGCAGCCACAGAGGCAGCCCTGGCACAGCAGCTGGCAGCAGGCATGAGGGTGGCAGAGAGGGCACAGGAATGGAGTGCCCGGAGGAAGCTCGTTAGTGATGCGCCCAGTGATTGGCCCCAGCAGAGAGCAGCATGGGGCCAGTGAAGGGGCCTGGGATGCTCCCTGGTGAAAGACTTGTGCAGCCTCTCCACAGCCTTCTTCCAGATGGCCAGGGACACCGACTGGACCCCACCTAGGGGCACTTTAGCGGCTCTGCCATTCCAGAAATGAACAGTGATTTCTTCTTCCTTTGATGCTACATAACAAAAAATGGCAAAATTTTGTTATAATTATCAATTACCTTTTTTTTTTTTGAGACAGGGTCTGGTTCAGGCTGGAGTGCAGTGGCACAGTGATAGCTCACTGCAGCCTCAACCTCCCAGGCTCAAGCCCTCCTCCTGCCTCAGCCTCCCAAGTAGCTTCCACTTCCTAATCGTGGGATAAAGCCTCTCCTATCCACACAGGCAAAGGCAGAGCTTCAGCCCGGCCCCTGTGCTCTGGCTGCCTGGCTCCTCACATGCACCTCTCCGTGGAGAGCCTGCCAGGAACATCCTTCACCTGCATCATACTTACCTCCACTTCCCGAGGACTTGCCTGAGCCTCCCTGCCTCCTGGACTACAGTGGCCTGCAGGGGCTCACTTTTCTTGTCAAAACCAAAATGCATTCTCAGTAGAAGCCTCATTCTGTCATTCTCTGAATTACAGTGGTGCTGACTGACCCGGCAGAAGATGACTGTCCGGTCCCTGGAGGACCTGGTGAGAGCTGGGTCGTGGTTTAGCTAACCAACATAGAGTTTTAGGCCACTTACCCTGATTTTTTTTTATATATAATCTGAAAGATACAGTGTGCATCTGTTGCTGCCTCAAGATTAAGCAGCAGGCAAGGGGGTAAAAATTATCTTCTTAATGCCTTAGAAACCCCTAAGCTATAGACGCACCCTTGGCTCTCTCATCTGGCCTGATTATAGCCTGGCTCCTTCTGGGGACTGATGAGTCAGAGCAGCTTCTCTTACCTCTCCGGGGATCTCTCATCTCCAAGCCCAAAAGAACAGTGCCAGGACCATACTGCTGTTGTCCTGGCTGCCAAAGTGCCAGCACCTTGTCCCCTGGTCTCAGTGAGTATCCTACAGATGGTGAGAGAGGAATGACATCCTCTTCTAAGACCACTCTCTGCTGCCGGGCTGGCAGCTTTGGGCCTGCGACAAGAGGAGCCTCAAATTCCACAAACAGGACCCCCTGTCTCTCCAGCTGTGGGAAAGAAAACACTCAGAATAAGAACTGGCATTACAAAGTACAAGAGGGAGCACCCAGGTTCCCTACGATGCCCCCAAACCAGGCCCAGGGACTGCCTTCCAAACAGTGACAGGCACCTAAAGAAGGGATGAGGCAGATGCTCTTTCAAGCCAGTCATAGCTGAGATAGGCAGGCTGTGTGGCACGGTTGGGCTTCCCTGAATCTCTTTCTTCCTCGGGCAACACTTCTTGCCTCTCCCTTTCCATTCCCTTCCTTTGCCTGGTTTTCTTTCCTCCTACCAAATTTTTGACCTGCAATTGCCAGGAATAACCTGGGTCCTCCCTGGACCTTTTCTCAATGCAATCCCCTCCTTCCAGCACCCCCAAGAAGCGTCGCTCCTGTGTCCAAGACCAACCAGGGATGGATGGTTGTTCACCTGTGAGGCTCATGTAGGCGAGGAGAGATTGTGGCCACAGAGCTGCCCTCAGCACCGCCCTTACAGTCGACGAGGAAAGGGTTAGCTAAGCAAGCGAATAGCAAAAGTGAGAGAACAGTGATGCAGCTACTTAAAAGTACAGGCTGTTTCAAGTACTCTGTGATTTAGAAGAGAAATAAACTGGTTATAAATTATTTTTACCAAATCACTGGACAGAAACTATATTCGAGCAAAGTTTTGCTAGAATTTCATTTTAATTCACATATTACTTGAAAATTGACCCTTTTTTTTCCCCCAGATGGAGTTTCGCTCATCACCCAGGCTAGAGTGCAATGGCATGATCTTGGCTTACTGCAACCTCCGCCTCCTAGGTTCAAGCGATTCTCTTGCCTCAGGTTCCTAAGCAGCTGGGACTACAGGAGCCCACCACCTTGCTCGGCTAATTTTTGTATATTTAGTAGAGACGAGTTTCACCACATTGGCTAGGCTGGTCTCGAACTTCTGACCTCAGGTAATCCACCCTTCTTGGCTTCCCAAAGTGTTGGGATTATAGGCATGAGCCACCACACCAGGCCAAAAACTGACTTTTGATTGGAAATTCTGAAATTCATATTTTTAAAGAATTTACATTAGTCTTCCCTTCATGAATCTACATTCACAAAGTAAGTCTGACTCTGAAAAAAAGAAAAAAAAATAATAATAATAAGTGAGTAGCCACTGAAGTACAGGCCAGGCCTGGCCCCCAGCATGGCAGGAGTATGCTTCTCTGTGTACCAGCACACACCCATGCATGTGAGCAAACACATCTCGTTCCTCTTTCCCTTAGGCTGGTGTTCATTCAACACACGGAATTTTCCTCAACAAAGTACTTTTAAAGTACATTTTCTTCTCTGTTATGCATTGAATTGTGTCCCATGCCCCACCTCCACCCTCCTCCCACAGGCTGGAGTGCAGTGGTGCCATCAGTTTGGAGCTCAAGTGATCCTCCTGCCTCAGCCTCCCAAGTGGCTGGGACTACAGCCATGTGCCACCATGCCTTGTTAATTTTTAAATTTTTTGTAGAGACAGGGTCTCGCTATATTGCCCAGGCTGGTCTTGAACTCCTGGCCTCAAGCAATTGTCCCACCACCACCTCTCAAAGCGCTGGGATTACAGGCGTGAGCCACCATGCCTTGCCCCCTGCCAAATTCATATGTTGAAGTCCTAGACCCCAGAATGTGACCTTATTTGGGAATAGGGTCATTGCAAATGTAATTAAGATGAGGACTGAATATGGCAGGTCCCTAATCCAGTGTAATTGATGTCCTTATAAAGGGGGAAATGTGGGCAGACACACACTCAGGGAGAAAGCCCCGTAAAGGTAAAGGCAGAGATCAAGGTGATGCCTCTATAAGCTGAGGAACACCAAAGCCTGCCAGCAAGCCATGAGAAGCCAGAAGCGGGGCATGGGAATGATTCTTCCTCACAGCTCTCAGAAGGAACCAACCTTGCCAAGCCCTGGACTTCCAGCCTCCAGAAATGGGAGATGACACATTTCTGTGGTTTAAGCCATTCTGTTTGTGGCACTTTGTTAGGTAGCCCTAGCAAACTAACGCACTCGGTGGTATTACATGTTCACTTCTACAACATGGCCATGAGAGAGCTGTGCTTATCCAAAAAACCAGCCTGCTAGACGCACACAGCTAAGGCATGTCAGGTATGACAGGGCCACCCAGAGGAGCATGCCAGGGAGATACTGAGGGTCAGGGACTTGCCTCAGGAGCAGCCTTTATTTGAGCCCAGTAGTAAAAGCCATCTGCTTCCCTTCTTGCCAGGACCCATGTGTTGGCAGCATCTCCAGCTCTTCCCAGCCAGCCAGGCCCTTGCCATGCTGGGTCGGCAATGTGGAGACACGGGCAAGAAGAGGTGTGCCTGGAAAAAAGCAAATGGAATTAGTGGATAGAGAGTAACAAGCCCTAAACACATCAAGAAACATGTTTCTCAGGTACATCTGAGGTGCACCACAGCACACAAGGCATGTGGAACAGAAATCCACATGGAAAGTGGCAATCTATGACTTCCAGAAGGATAAGATAAACCTCCGGGAGGGGCAGTAGGAGAGGACAGTTAAGGGAACCATCCTTGGTGGATTGGGAGTTGGTTCAAGGCAACCAAAAGGTAATTTGCCTTGATACATTCAAGTTAATTAATGCTTGTTCCTACACTAGACAACAGACTGGAAAAGTGTGGCTCTCGCCTGTAATCCTAGCACTTTGGGAGGCTGACGCGGATGGATCACTTGAGCTCAGGAATTCAAGACCAGCCTGGGCAACATGGTGAAACCCCATCTCTACCAAAAATACAAAAAAATTAGCTGGGTGTGGTAGTATGAGCCTGTGGTCCCAGCTACTCAGGAGGCTGAGGTAGGAGGATTCCTTAAACCTGGGAGGTAGAGATTGCAGTGGGCTGAAATGACACTACTGCACTCCAGCCTGGGTGACAAGGTGAGACCCCCTATTGAAAAAAGAAAAGAGCGCCAGGAGTCAGGCGCAGTGGCTCACGCCTGTAATCCCAGCACTTTGGGAGGCCGAGGTGGGTGGATCATGGGGTCAAGAGATCAAGACCATCTGGACAATATGGTGAAACCCCATCTCTACTAAAAATACAAAAATTAGCTGGGCGTGGTGGCGGGCGCCTGTAATCTCAGCTACTCAGGAGGCTGAGGCGGGAGAATCACTTGAACCCGGGAGGCGGAGGATGTGGTGAGCCAACATTGCACCACTGTACTCCAGCCTAGTGACAGAGCAACACAGTGAGACTCCGTCTCAAAAAAAAAAAAAAAAAATAGTGCCAGGAAGGTAAATCTTAAGGTGGCGTGTGGGATTCCAGGATGAGGCGTGGAAGCTTGGGTAGTAATACCAAGGGTGTGAAATTGTAATGCCACTTGATGCTGTGGGGTCAGAGAGATGAGGAAGTGTTTGGGCAGGGACAACCCAGAGGAGCTAAGGGGTTGTGGGACAGAAAAAGGAGATGCTAGTTCCAGATAATGTTGTGGTCAGGGCCAGTTGGTCTAGGGGAGTTGTTGAGTCAGGGTTTGGGTTTTTGAAGAAGCCATTTTACTTTGTGGGCAAGGCTGAATGCAAAGGGGGCCTGCCTGCCTCCTGCTGTCATCAACATGCTGTCACAGCACCCAGGCTGTTCGTGCTGAGGAGCTCCTGCAGGCCCGTGCTGAGCTACCCTCAGTCCCCCTCAGCCTCCCTCCTGTGCTTGTTGGCATCTAAAGTCCAATGCTTAACTCTAGCTTTGAACAGGATGGTCCACCGGGTGAATCACGAAAGGGAGCCATTAAGGATCATTCAAGCTGGCATGTCCCTAACATGGGCACAATGGGTCAGGCAGCAGGAGTGCGGGTCCCTGGAGCTGACACGCTCCATGTGTGCATATAGGCTGTGGTGCCTTTGGCCTCTTGTATCCATGCTTTAGAAAGCGGACTGAGGATCCTATTTAGGAAAATCCTGGACAAAGGAGGAGTACTGAGGGAACCTGAAGAGGGACCTGGAGACCCCCCCCCCTTAGCTGATTTCTCCTATGGTGCCAGAGCAAGTCTCTTTTTTTTTTTTTTTTTTGGTTTTGTTTTGTGTTTGAGATGGAGTCTCGCTCTGTTCCCTAGGCTCGAGTGCAATGGCGCTGTCTCGGCTCACTGCAACCTCTGCCTGCGGAGTTCAAGCAATTCTCCTGCCTCAGCCTCCCAAGTAGCTGGGAATACAGGCATGCACCACCACGCCCAGCTAATTTTTTTTTTTCTTTGAGACAGAGTCTCACTCTGTTGCCCAGGCTGGAGTGCAATGGCACGATCTCAGCTCACTGCAACCTTTCCACCTTCTGGGTTCAAGCAATTCTCTGCCTCAGCCTCCTGAGTAGCTGGGATTACAGGCACCTGCCACCATGCCTGGCTAATTTTTATATATTTAGTTGAGACGGGGTTTCACCATCTTGGCCAGGCTGATCTCGAACTCCTGACCTTGGGTGATCCACTCGCCTTGGCCTCCCAAAGTGCTTGGATTACAGGCGTAAGCCACCATGCCCAGCCAATTTTTTTTTTGTATTTTTAGTAGACAGGGTTTTGCCATGTTGGTCAGACTGGTCTCGAACTCCTGACCTCAAGTGATCCACTTGCCTCGGCCTTCCAACGTGCTAGGATTACAGGCGTGAGCCACCACACCCAGCCAAGTCTCATTGTTGATGGTAAAATGAGCTATAAACTTGGTAACTGGCTATCCCTAACTGCCTTCTCTCCCTCATGCCAACTGTGGCATCTGCAACTCTGCCTGGAGGGCTCTGGGAGCACAGTGTAGGCTGGAATGACAGACCACACACAGATACACCAATCATAAGCCAAACAATGAAGACCCCTTTCTGCCTTCTCAGGAAGCAAGTCTCTCCACCAAGGTCTACCACCAACAGCCAAGAACAAAGGAAAAAAGAAAGGGGCGCCCACTTCCTCCAGAGGGGCAGAGACAGGTACCTTGCGAGGGGCTTGTGCCCGGTGAGCCAGGGTGCTTGGAGGGCAAAGGGGTAGGTGAAGGAAAGGTCCCACAGTGGAGCAGCACCGTCCCAGCCAGGGGCCTTCAGGCTTGTGGCCACGCTGCAGTATTTGAGCAAAGGCATCCTGGGCCCCGTGGAGGAGTCCATGGCCTTCAGAGGATCCACCTGAGAATAGGCACCACCATTCCCTGAGCTGCAGCTTAAAGCCAGCGGTGGCCGCCTGGGCGAGGCAGGGCTCAGGTCTGCAGTTAGCTGACTCTGGGGACAATTGAGTCCATGCACGGCCCCACCTGCTCCCACAAACTCTCACAGTTTCCTCCTTGAGTCACCTGCTTTGGGAACCTCCACTCAGGAAACAGGGAAGGGATTGGAAGAGCAAGAGCTGTGAGTTTAGAGCAGTCCAGCTTTAAATCCTCCCTCACAACCTGCTGGCTGTGTGCTCACTTAACCTCTGCCCTCCAGTTACACTCAGGATAGAATTCATGGAAGGCACCTGGCGTATTCAGCAGCTCAATTTACATTAGTATTTTTCCTCCTTCCTCCTCCCCAGCCACCTACAAGGCTAGTTCTGGCCCCAGGTGAGCTGAGCTCTCAGGGCCGTCTGTCCTCTTTCTAGCTCCGTTCAGAGGAGACAGCTGCCACCAGGGCCCAAGATCAAGCCGCACCGCCGCAGCCCACCAGAGCCCTGTGAGGATCCGCCCCTGCCTAAGTCCACAGGTCTGACCCCAAAAGGACTTACCCACAGCCCCAAACTCCCAGCCTCCACCTCAGCCTCAGGCCCCTTCTGACAGATGGGGCTCAGGGCCTCAGCACAACCGACTCCTGGTTGTCATGCCGGTCGCTGTGGGTGCAGCCTGGGGATGCTGTCGTCTGTGGCCAGTGAGTGCACTGAGCATGCAGAGAGGCCAACAGGAGGCCTTTGGAGGCAGGGGTGGGGCAGGAAGTGATGGGGGAGGGGGTGTTCTCCAGGTTTCCCTCTGGAGAGAAGAGGAGGAGGAGGGAGGGAGAAAGGCCAGCGTAGCCTCAGTTCTCCAAAACTCACGCTGCCCCACTGCTAGAAGAGTCAGCGGTGGTGGGAAGCCCTCAAGGATCCCAGGGGACTCCTGTGAGGGAGGAGCCTCCTCCCTGTACACGCTAGAGGCAGGGGTGGGGGAGCCACTGGCGGCTTGGGGACTCTAGGGTAGAATTTGTCCCTAGTCTAAACCAAAATAACCAAAGGTGTGGGCCTGTTTGTCTATAACAGGCAGGACTCCTTTGAGGAGCAGAGGTGTTGTGACCATTTGGAGGGAGAGGCGTGGACACTGGCAACAAAGGAACAGAAGTCCAGATTCCGATCATGGGAGGGGCTCGTATTTGGAGACCTCTGACAGTCACTGCGCACTGGTTATGTTCCTGGTATGCAGGCAAGTTTGGAGGTGTCCCCCACATCCATACCCCGCTTCTACCAGGTTCTGTTACAGTTGGCAGATCCATGGGAATAGGGAGGCCAGGGTACCACCTCCAGGAGTAGAGTGGTGTCAGTCACCCCTTCCATCCCCGTCTGGCCCCAGAAGTTGGTTAGGCAGGGGCGTGTTCCTGAACCTCTCCAATCAGCAGGAATCTGGAGACTTCGGTTGGGAATCCTGGGATATAGGCTTTCTCTTTCTTCCTATGCCTGAAGGAGAAAGCTGATAGTTCTGAGAGCTTCTGACAGCCTTTTGGGGAGACTGAAGCTATTCCCAGAGAAAGAGAGGATAGACCTCAGGAAATAGAGGGTTGGTTGGTTGGTTGGTTGGTTGGTTTTGAAACAGGGTTGCCCAGGCTGGCCTCAAACTCCTGGACTCAATGGATCCTTTTTCCTCAGTCTTCCGAGGAGATCGGACTACAGACGTGCACCCCCACATCCAGCTGAAAATAGGTTCTTGGTGACAGTATTGAGTCCTACCTGCAGGCAGTGCTGCTACTCTAGGCCTCAGCTGTGTGAGCCAATAATTCCCCTAAGTGATTATGCCACTTTGAATTGGGCTGTTTCTCACTTGCAACCAAAAGCCTCTTAGCTAATGACTGCCCTCCCAGAGTATCACTTCATAGTCAGGAGAATGACTGCTGTCCAGGACCGTATACCGAGGCCGAGTTATTTGGCACACAAAGTTAAAGTCTGAGAAAGACCCATGGCCGAGTGCGGTGGCTCACACCTCTAATCCCAGCACTTTGGGAGGCCAAGGCAGGTGGATCACGAGGTCAGGAGATCGAGACAATCCTGGCTAACACGGTGAAACCCCATCTCTACTACAAATACAAAAAATTAGCTGGGCGTGGTGGCTCTTGCCTGTAGTCCCACCTACTTGGGAGGCTAAGGCAGGAGAATTGCTTGAACCAGGGAGTCAGAGGTTGCAGTGAGCCGAGATCGCGCCATTGCACTCCAGCCTGGGTGACAGAGAGAGACTCTGTCTCAACAAATGAAAAATAAGTTAAAAAATACCCATGAAGTCTCTGGCAATGAAAGAAGGATTCTTGAATGAGACAGAGAGGTTTCAATGAAGGAGGGGAAAAGGAGAATATTCCAGTTTAGGTAGGAGGCAAGAGAGAAGATAGAAGGATACATTCGCAAGAGTGATTTTCTGTTTGGGGAAAATGGGTTCAGCATGTGCAAAATCACCCTGAACTTGCTTAGAAGTCACATGAAAGCAGACTCACATCAGGGTTTGGGTGTGAGAGTAATTCTGGTTATAGGTTACAGAGGCATCATCGCTAACCCCATCAGATGTTATCTTACATGTAGGAAAAGGCCAAAACTCGGGTCATTTATCTTTTAAGGAATGTAGCGACTCAGGCAGGAGACGGGGTGGAAGAGGGAGAGGGGCGTGTACTCTGTCCTGTCCTTCAAAGCTTCTTTTCAAAGAGCGAAAGAGCTGCCCGCGGTAAGAGTCAGGGGCACTGTGAAATGTTGCTGGCAAGCAGAAGTGAGAAAACACGACTTCTTATGTTTGCTGCTTTGTTTTGCAGTAGGGAACTTTGAAAACTAAGCTGATAAATTTAAACAAGATGGCGTTCAGAAGGCAGTCATCAGGCAGCTTAAGCGACGAAGTGACATGAAATACTTTCAGAGAGAGTGAGGGTGGAGGCTGTTGAGGACACAGCCCAGGAGGCCAGACAGGAGACTGCTACCAATGACCCAGACACAGGTGATGGGATTGGAATAAGAAAACAATCACAACAGATATTCACCAACACCTTCCTGATTTGAGGCTTTTTGCTGGGTACTAGGAATAGAAGATGAAAAAGGCTGGATGAATTATCTTCAAGGAGCTTGCAGTCTACTGAAGAAGACAGAGATAGGTGTGTAAAGTGTTTAAAGATAGCAGGATAGCAACCATAAGGCAAATATTTATATGAAATAAAGGAACAAGTAACAGCTGGGATAGGAAGTTGGGGAGGACTTCACAGAGGCATAGCAGTGGAGAGGAATGTGATAGACAGTGTGTGATGGGTCATTGACTAGGCCTGGGGACAGATGGGACTTGGTAGTTAAAGGAGAAGGAAGAGCTGAAGCTGGCCATGGAAGCAGAAATAGACACATTTTGAAGGCAGACCACCCAAGATACGGGGCAGGGACTGTCCTTCCCAGGTATGAAGGAAAGGTCTGGCAGCTCCAAGTTTTCTAGCTTAGGGAACCTAGAGAATGGTGATGCTATGGACAAAATAAGATAATGATAATAATAATCAGTAATGGTGGCCAGGCACAGTGGCTCATACCTGTAATCCCAACACTTTAGGAGGCAGGGGTGGGAGGATTGCTTGAGGCTAGGAGTTCGAGACCAGCCTGGACAACATAGCAAGACCCCATCTCTAAAAAAAATGTGTTTGACTGGGAGTGCTGTCTCATGCCTATAATCCCAGCACTTTGGGAGGCCGAGGTGGAGTTCAAGACCAGCCTGGCCAACATAATGAAACCCCATCTGTACTAAAAATAAAAAAACAAAATAGCCGGATATGGTGGTGGGTGCCTGTAATCTCAGCTACTCGGGAGGCTGAGGCAGAGAATTGCTTGAACCCAGGAGGCGGAGGTTGCAGTGAGCCGAGATTGTACCACTACACTCCAGCCTGGGTGACAGAGCGAAACTCCATCTCAAAAAAAAAAAAAAAGGTTTTAATGATTATGAATGCTTTTTACATGTCAGGCTCTGTTAATCATCATCATAAACACATGGGAATTGCTGTTGTTATTATGCTCATTTTGTGGAGAAGAACTGAGACATAGAGAAGAGGTAGCAGAGTTATACTGCAAATACAGGTCTGCCTTCTTTTTTTTTTTTTTTTGAGATGGAGTCTCGCTCTGTCACCCAGGCTGGAGTGCAGCGGCACAATCTCGGCTCACTGCAAACTCTGCCTCCTGGGTTCACGCCATTCTCCTGCCTCAGCCTCCTGAGTAGCTGGGACTACAGGCACCTGCCACCACGCCCGGCTACTTTTTTGTATTTTTAGTAGAGATGGGGTTTGACCGCATTAGCCAGGGTGGCCTCAATCTCCTGACCTTGTGATCCGCCCGCCACGGCCTCCCAAAGTGCCGGGATTACAGGCGTGAGCCACCGCACCCAGCTACAGGTCTGCCTTCTTGGACCCTATACTGAGCTGCCTGAAGAAGTCTGCATGCAGGAAAATGATGCATCTGAAATAATTTCAAATAACAACAAGGTTTTGTACTTTTGCTTTAGCCTCAAGACACTTTCCCATGGTGGTGACTTCTTGTGAATCCCCAGTAAATAAAAATCTCCAAATGCTGACAAATGAAGAGAGGTTCATTGTGATTGCTCAGCATGACGCTTCGACGGAGTGAGACAGGCCTCTAGTAGTTAGCAGTCACGCTTCACAGGCTTCTGTGAGAGCTTCTCACAGCTGAGCCTCTGGCCAAGCGTGTGAGAAGGGGAAAATGAGACATGCAGAGACTCTGGGGCCCCCTGCTCCCCTAGAGCTCATGAAAGAAAGAAGCAGAGCAGCTCCTCAACCTACATGAGATCATGTTTAGTACAATTGAAACCCAGGTGAGTAATACTCAGCATAGGTTAGCATTTGAGCTATTTCCTGCCCACATAGAAATTACACTTAGGAAAAACTGTTGAATGATGCTGTAAGATACCTCATTTTGTGATATTATTCACTTCTATTTGGAAACAACGACTCAAACAATTCTGAACATAGGGTCAGCATGGTGGCTGGTGGTTGCTATCATGGAAGAAACTTTTCCAGCGTTATTCTTGGTCTCAGCTTTATCAGGGTACAGAAGAGACTGCAGGTAGTTAATGTACTTGATTGCAGCTCTGAGGGTTTCCACTTTGCTGAGTCGCTTCTCCAAATACTCCTCTGGCAGATGATGACGGAGCTGGGCATAGCCTTCATTGACACATTTCACGCGCTGCCGTTCCCGCTCATTCCTTTTCCGGATGAAGGCCGGCCCGTAGGAGTACTCACACCTTCCGTAACTTGGGTAGGGCATAGGGAAAGAGAAGGGGCAGGGTTCACCGTAATTTCCCAGGATGAGGGAGTCACTGGGAAAAGGCAGCAGTGGCAGCTCCTCAGAGTAAGGGGATGGCACCGGGGCCTCCGGGTGCAGGTGGAAAGTGACCATGGGCTCCAGATAGAAGGACCTGGTCAGTGGCAAGCGGGCAGAATCGGGGAAGATAGGAAGTTTGTCAGGCAGACAGGAGTTGCCTCTGTTGTCCATCATTTCCTCTTTAACCTGCAAACATAACGAAATTTATCAATGTGGTCAGAAAGAGAGCAGATATGATCTACTTTCTTGGAGATCAATGTTTTGTTGTGTTGTGTTGTGTTGTATTGTATTGTATTGTATTGTATTGTATTGTATTGTATTGTATTGTATTGTATTTTTCGAGATGGAGTCTTGCTCTGTCGCCCAGCCTGGAGTGCAGTGGCACGATCACGGCACACTGCAACTTCCGCCTCCTGGGTTCAAGCAATTCTCCTGCCTCAGCCTCCTGAGTAACTGGGATTACAGGCATCCGCCACTGTGCCCAGTTAATTTTTGTATTTTTAGTAGAGATGGGGTTTCACCATGTTGGCCAGGATGGTCTTCATCTCTTGACCTTGTGATCCACCTGTCTCCGCCTCCCAAAATGCTGGGATTACAGGCATGAGCCACCACACCCAGCCAGAGATCAATGTTTTAAAGACTTTTCTGCTTTGATGACCAGTTTCTGAGCTCCTGTGGACAATGAGATGGTGTTATAATATTCTGTGTAGTAAGAGGATGTTTGATGGTACACAGAAACAGTACTAAATAACATTGAATCGCCTTATGAGAAAGTTATTCTCCTTCAATTCTCTTTCACTCCTTGTGGTTATAAAGATACAACCTTAGTCTGCTGAGAATGTGTCTTCCACACCACACCACTAGAATTCTGTCTTTTTTTTTTTTTTGAGACAGAGTCTGGCTCTGTCGCCCAGGCTGGAGTGCAGTGGTGCGATGATGGCTCACTAGAGCCTTAACCTCCCAGGTGCAAGCAATCCTCCTGCCTCAGCCACCTGAGTAGCTGGGAGCATAGGCAGGCATCACCACAGCTGGCTAAGTTTTGAATGTTTTTGTAGAGACAGGGTCTTGCCATGTTGCCCAGGCTGGTCTCAAACTCCTGAGCTCAAGCAACCCACCTGCCTCAGCCTCCCCAAGTGCTGGGATTATACACAGGAAGCTACCACACCTGGCCTAGAATGCTTTCTAATCCTTCTAAGATCAAAGCCTTCAACAAGCAATAACATCTCGTTAGAATTCAGTGTCTTTACTAACTTCTGTTTATTGTGAGTTCTGGTAATTTATGGTAGTGATATAAAGTTCCTTTTTTTGTTTTTTGAGACAGAGTCTTGCATTGTTGCCTGGGCTAGAGTGCAGTGGCATGATCTTGGCTCACTGCAACCTCTGCCCCGGGTTCAAGTGATTCTCCTGCCTTAGCCTCCCAAGTAGCTGGTATTGCAGGTGACTGCCACCACGCCCAGCTAATTTTTTTGTATTTTTAGTAGAGATGGGGGTTTCATTATGTTGGCCATGCTGGTCTCAAACTCCTGACCTCATGATCCATCCACCTCAGCCTCCCAAAGTGCTGGGATTATAGGTGTGAGCCACCATGCCCGACCATAAAGTTCGTCTTAAAATTAAATCTACTTGAGTAAGAAAACGTGATTTGATTTAAAGATAAAGAGTGAGTAAATAATAGTACAGGTGGAACAAAGATGTAATAGTGATTGTGAAGACGTGCAGATAAAAAAAAGTGTAGGAAACGCTAAAACACCACAATATTCAAATATATGCAAGGGAAATTATGAACTAGTTAATGATCATGCAACCTCAGAGGCATAGCTTTCTTAAAGATATACCTGATGTGCTAGAGGCAAAACTGAAAATACAAATTAAAAAGGAATAATTTGCTCTTAAATGTTCATTATGGTACTCCTTTAGGTGAGAAACTTCCCCTACACATTTAAAACATAGTCAATTTACACATTTTTACGTATGTAGAACTGTAAATATATTGAGTAAAATGCAGCTATGTTTAGGTTTTTAAATTTTTTATTTATTTTATATTTTTATTTTTAGAGGCAGTGTCTTATTCTGTCACCCAGACTGGAGTGCAGCGATGTGATCATGGCTTACTGCAGCCTCAAACTGCTGGGTTCAAGTGGTCCTCCTGCCTTCTGAGTAGCTTCTGAGTAGCTAGGACAGCAGATGTGCACCACCATGTCTGGCCTTTTTTTTTTTTTTTTTTTTTGTAGAGATGGGGTCTTGCCTTGATGCCCAGGCTGATCTTAAACCTCCTCCTAGCTTCAAGTAATCCTCCTATGTCAGCCTCCCACAGCACTGGGGTTACAGGCATGAGCTACTTCACCCAGCCTATAATTAAGTTTTGTTGGTTGTGTGTGTGTGTGTGTGTGTTTTTGTAGAACTCAAGGACGAAGCAGTATAACCCAAGAGGTTCCATACCAACGCATTTCTTCTTTGTGAATAGGTCTATATCCTTCTCCTCTTTTAAACTACCATTACTTTTTGCCTTTGACCATAATCATGTAGCAACAATAGATTTTATGGAGGCACTGCAGTATAACCCGTTAACTGGGAGGCAGGGTAGTTCTGTAGGAAAAGAGCTTTTTCTCTAAGGGGTAACACCCTCAGGTTTCAATATGGCCTTACTCCTTCTTAGCTATGTGTCCTTAGGCAAGTGTCTTAACCTCTCTGAGCTTTCGCTTTCCCCATGTCCAAATAAGCTACTAACTATTCTGCAGGGTGGTTGTGAGGATAAAGTGAAAAAAATACAGTTGACCCTCCGTATTGGGGTCTGTGTATTCAACCAACTATGGGTGGAAAATATTCAGGGGGAAAAAAGGGATGGCAGCATGGGTACTAAATAAGTACTGACATTTGTTCTTGTCATTAACCTCTAAATAATACAGTGTAACAACCATTTGTATAGAATGTACATTGTGTTAGGTATTATAAGTAATCCAGAGATGATTGATTTAAAGTGTTTGAGAGGGTGTGTGTAGGTTCCATGCAAGTGCTACATTATTTTCTACAAAGGAATTGGACCTCTGTGGATTTTGGTATCTGAGGGGAGTCCTGAACCCAACCCCCCAGGTACAGAGGGGTGACTGTGCCTATAATGCACCCAGCATTTACCTCTTTCCTTTCTTTAGAGATGAATGAATCTTTATGTAGTGTTCCTATCTAAACTGTACCTTATAGAAAACCTGGTTTATGTTTTCCTTAACACCGTAGAGTCACAACACTGATCTATCCTAAACACATGTGTTGAGAGATGAGGAACATACCTAAAATAGAGAAGGAAAAGCAGCTTGAAGTCTAATTGTGGGCCTCCATCAAAGAAGGAAATATGGTGTTAATTTCTCAGCAGGTTGATTTTTCGGTATCTTTAGGAGTGAGGGGTTATTATCTGTGCTTGGCATACTGCATGCACACACACACACACACACACACCAGTCCTAATGTTTAGGGCAATATTAGATAATATTGGCACTTATTTCTCTACCTGAATACAGCAAAAACTCAGCAGGCTGCACTGTGTAGTGGGAGGAGCAGCCTCTAAGACCAGAATTCAAGTATGAAGGTCAGGGGACTAGGGAAACAGTAAGGGCAGCAGGGGTAGGGGTGCTGGAGGGAGGAGTGGCCAAGGTTAAAGGGTTATAGTAAGTTGTGGTGAAAGAGACTGGAAAAGAAGTCAATGCCAGGAAAAGCTCTTCCTAAAAGGGACGGGGTTAGGGGATGAGATAAGTGGAATAGGTCCAATTAAAAATCAAAACAGAGGAACAGGAAATGAAAGATTCCAAATTACTGACCAAATGACCTAAGATAACTAACAAAACAAAAATCTCTGGAAAACTGAAAACTAGCCAGGATTCTGTCAAAAAGAAAAAGTTGCTGAGAGAAACAAGTTAGGAAATTCCCAAGCCAGGAATTATAGAGGGTAAGAGAGAAAGAATGGGTATGGCAGAAGCTGCAAAATGGTGGCAAATGGGTGTGGAGCCTGTATTACTGCATTTCTGACAACAGCAGAGCCATATTGTTGCTTGTAGTTAAGAACTGGAGTTAACAGGCTACCAAAAAGTAAAGCAGATGTCATCAAACCTAACTATACAAAAATCATTCTGTTGGTGATGGTTTTACCCTAAAAGACCATTTAAACAATATCTTAAATCTTGACCCAGATGAAATCTGAGTAATTTGTATATGCCACAAGTAATTAAAACTTTCTAGGTTTTAACAATACTTTGCATAATTCTTGAAAAAAGAGCATGGTGTCTCTGGAGGCACATTGATGAGAAGTTTTTTCTGTTGAGCATTTCCAATAAGTTCACCAATCAGTGTACTAGCATTTAAATATGATCACCTTTTATTCAAAGAAGGTAATTTAAGACAACAAAGTTAAGAAAATGAAATAAAATGCAGCAACAAGGAGAATCAAGATAGAAAGCCTACTGGGGTCTGGATGTGTTTGTAGGAATTGAGTATAAGTTTTTAAAAGAAAGCAACACAGATTGGTAGCGCCAGGGCTCCATGGTTCCAGATATAGGCACAGCTAACAAACACACCTGTGATGGGAAAATCTCAGATTCTGCCTTAGAGGGTTTCTGGGAAATAAATGATGAGGTCTTAATGATAAAATCATAAGAGATTCTGGATACTCTGCTGAGCATAAAAGCTTCAAATTTCAGAGATATAAAAGATATGTAGCATGTAAAAAATAAAAAGCTACAACTGCCAATATAATTGAATTATGGAATGTTAGAGCTAGAAGGAAACTTAAAACTTCTTCATAGGTTATGATATGTTGCTAAGGTTACAAAGCCAATAGCAAAGCAGGGGCCAGAACCTAGTGTCCTGACTTCCAAATCAAAACTCCTTCTGCTCTTCTAGAGGATTTAATTGCCAGCAAAACCTGGATCTTCCATTATATGGAGAATATTGGTAGTTTAAGATAATGGAATAATCTGATAGCTGACAAAATTCAGTATTTATCAACTGTGCCTAGGCATGTTTTTATCCTTGCCCATGGGCCACTCTGGAGAAGAGTCTCTTACCTGAGTTTTGTCGTCAGGATGCTGTATTTTGGGCTGAGTTAGACTTAACCTGATTTATAGGTGATCATTTAATAACAATATACAAAACAGCTTACAGTTAAATAGAACTGCTCAGTTCTGGTTTGGCTGTTTTTCCTACCCAGCATGTAGATATGACAACAGATAACCATGCTAAATAGAAAGGTGTGCTTACAAAACTGGATACTTGTAACAAATTCTTTTGCTTAAAGAATGTCCCCCATTCTTCTGGGTTATGTGATATTATATCAAAATTATTTGTGGAGCAATAGACTCATAATGTGCAAATATTGGTCAATGTTCTTTTAGATAGAGATTAAGGCTAGAACTAAGAAGGTCAATATGAACTTATTTTCTTTAATTTTTATTTTTTTAAAGCCAGTCAAATTTAGCAGTGGGGACTTTAGTGACATGAATGTGGATGTTAAATTCTGATAGCCCAGTATCATAGGAACTAGCCAATACCTTTTTCTTAAATAGCCGTTTTATTTTTTCTTCTTAAGTATACTTTTATCTTTTTAAAAATGTAAATATTAGAAGCATTCCTTCTTTCCTTATTTATTTAGAGACAAGGTCTCACTCTCTAGCCCAGGCTGGAATGCAGTGGCATTACCACAGCTCATTGCAGCCTCCATCTCCCGAGCAGCTGGGACTACAGGTGTGAGCCAACCCGCCTGGCTAATTTTTGTATTTCTTGTAGAGATAAGGTCTTACTTTGTTGCCTCGATGGTCTTGAACTCCTGGGCTCAAGACATCCCACCCAAAGTGCTGGGCTTATAGACCGCTGTGCTGTGCCGACTTTAATTTTTTTTTTTTTTTTTGAAACAGAGTTTTGCTCTTTTGCCCAGGCTGGAGTGCAATGGTGTGATCTTGGCTTACTGCAGCCTCTGCCTCCAGGATCAAGTGATTCTCCCACCTCAGCCACCCAAGTAGCTGGAATTACAGGTGTGTACCACCGCACCCAGCTAATTTTGTATTTTTAATAGAGATGGGGTTTCACCATGTTGGCCAGGCTGGTCTCAAACTCCTGACCTCAGGCGATCCGCCCACCTTGGCCTCCCAAAATGCTGAGATTACAGGTATGAGCCACCGCGTCCAGTCCCAACTTTAATTTTTAAAGCAGTTGTAGGTTCACAGAAAAATTGAACACAAAGTAGAGCTAATTCTCATATACTCCCTGCCCCTATATGTGCATGGCCTCCTCTGCTATGAACATTCCACACCATTATGGTACTGTGTTAGAACTGATGAACCTGCATTGACACATTATCACCCAAAGTCCATAGTCTACATTAGGGCTCACCCTTGGTGTTATACATTTACATTCTGTGGGTTTTGACAAGTATATAATGACATGTATTCATCATTGTGATGTCACAGAATAGTTTCACTGCCTAAACATCCCGTGCTTCTTCTCTAACCTCTTGCAACCACTGATACTTCTGTCTCCATGGTTTTGCCTTTTCTACAATGTCAGGTAGTTGGAATTATGCGTATAGCATTTTCTTTTTTTTGAGACAGAGTCTTGCTCTGTTGCCCAGGCTGGAGTGCAGTGGCACAATCTCAGCTCACAGCAAGCTCCGCCGCCCGGGTTCACACCATTCTCCTGCCTCAGCCTCCTGAGTAGCTGGGACTACAGGCGCCCGCCACCACGCCTGGCTAATTTTTTTTTTTTTTTAATTTTTAGTAGAGACAGGGTTTCACTGTGTTAGCCAGGATGGTCTCGATCTCCTGACCTCGCAATCCGCCCGCCTTGGCCTCCCAAAGTGCTGGGATTCCAGGCGTGAGCCACCGTGCCCGGCCACATACAGCATATTCAGATTGGCTTCTTTCACTTAGTAGTGTGCATTTAAGGTTCTTCCATGTCTTCTCATGGCTTGAAAGCTCATTTCTTTTTAGCGCTGAATATTCCATTGTCTGGATGTATCACAATTTGTTTATCCGTTCACCTACTAAAGGAAATCTTGGTTGCCTCCAAATTTTGGCACTTATGAATAAAGCTGCTATAAACATCTGCATGCAGGGTTTTGTGTGGACATAAGATTTCAACTTATTGGGTAATTATTGTGGAGCACAATTGCTGGATCATATAGTAAGGGTATGTTTAGTTTTGTAAGGTTGCTGTAACATTTTGCATTCCCACCAGCAATAAAAGTAAGTTCCTGTTGCTCTACATCCTTGAGAGCATTTGGTGTTATCAGTGTTCTAGATTTTCATCATTCTAATAAGTGTGTGTTGGTATCCCATTGTTATTTCAATTTGCATTTCCCTGATGACATATGATGTGGAACATCTTTTCATATGCTTATTTGCCATCTGTATCTCTTCTTTCATGAGGTGTCCAGGACTTTTGCCCATTTTTAAATCAAATTTTTTGTCCCTTATTGTTGAGTTTTAAGTGTTCTTTGTATATTTTAGATAGCCGTCCTTTATCAGATATGTCATCACCACCATCTAGATCTTCTCCTATGTTATCTTCTAAAAGTTTTGTAGTTTTGCATTTTACATGTAGGCCTATGATCTATTTTGAGTTAATTTTTGTGAAGGGTATAAGGTATGTATCTAGATTTATTTCTTTGCATGTGGATGTCCAGTTGTTCTAGCACCATTTGTTGAAAAGACTATCTTTTCTCCATTGTATTGCTTTTGCTCCTTTGTCAAAGATCAGTTGACTGTATTTATATGGGCCTATTTCTGGGTTCTCTGTCCTGTTCCACTGATCTTTTTTGCCAGTAGCATACTGTCATGATTACTGTAGTTCTATAGTAAGTCTCAAAGGTAGTGTTAGTTTTCTGAGTTTGTTGTTCTCCTTTAATATTGTGTTGGCTATTCTGTGTCTTTTGCCTTTTTATAACCTTTAGAATAAGTTTAATATACACAAAATAACTTTCTGGGATATTGATTGCGATTGCATTGAATCTATAGATCAAGTTGGAAAGAACCGCCATCTAAACAATATGGAGCCTTCCTATTAATGAACATGAAATATCTCTTCACTTATTTAGTTCTTTGGTTTGTTTAATCAGTTTTGCAATTGTCCTCACATAGATCTTATATATATTTTACTAGGTTTATACCTAAGTATTTCATTTTGGGGGTGCTACTATGAATGGTATTATTTTTAATTTCAAATTCCACTGTTTGTGGCTGGTATGTAGGAAAATGATTGACATTTTTTAAAAGACAGGGTCTTGCTGTGTTGCCCAGGCTGGAGTGCAGTAGCTATTCATGCAGCGATCATAGCTCACTGCAGCCTCAAAACTCCTGGCTTCAAGCAATCCTCCTGCTTCAGCCTCCTGAGTAGCTGGGACTACAGATACTTGCCACTGCACCTGGTTTGATTGACTTTTGTATACTAACCTTGTATCCTGTAAGCCTTTATAATCACTTATTAGTTCTATTATTGCTGTTGTCAATTCTTCCGGGTTTTCTACGTAGACAATCATTGCATCAGTAAACAAAGATAGTTCTATTTCTTCCTTCCCAATATGTATACCTTTTGTTTCCTTTTCTTGTCTCATTGCATTGGCTAGGGCTTCCCATACAATGTTGAAAAGGAATAGTAAGAGAAGACATCCTTGCCTTATTCCTGATCTTAGTGGGAAAGCTTCTAATTTCTCGTTATTAAGTATATGATGTTAGCTGTGGTTTTTTTGTAAGCTCATTTCTTTCTTTATCTAATTGAAGTTCTCCTCTATTCCTAGTTTCCTGAGAATTTTTATCATGAATGGGGTTATTTTGTCAAATGTTTTTTCTGCTATTGATATTATCATGTGATTTTTCTTCTTTAGATGTGATTTTCAAATGTTGAACCAGCTTCGCATACCTGGGATAAATCCCACTTGGTCATGGTTGAACTTAAATCTTTTAGTACTAACAATAAAATTGATAATTTTAGTTATTTTTGTAGATAATTGTGTAGGTGCTTAAAAACTAAATTTTACTAAACCCCAAAACCCCATTAATGGCTCCTAAACCCTCACTTTTATGAATTTAATGTAATTCTGATTTTTTTTGCCAGTAATTTCTCAGAACAAGTACGCCTTCAGGAATTTGAAATCTCCCAATTTATCAAAATATTAGTATACTTTTCAGAGATCCACCCCCAAATTCATATATTCTGTCTATACATGTACACACAGATAATTTACACCAATATTTTATAGTTAGATCGGTATAAAACAGTAGTCTCAGAACAGAGTACAAAATGTCTTTATGGCCGGGCGCGGTGGCTCAAGCCTGTAATCCCAGCACTTTGGGAGGCCGAGACGGGCGGATCACGAGGTCAGGAGATCGAGATCATCCTGGCTAACACGGTGAAACCCCGTCTCTAAAAAATAAAAGAAAAAAAAAGCTAGCCGGGCGTGGTGGCGGGCGCCTGTAGTCCCGGCTACTCAGGAGGCTGAGGCAGGAGAATGGCGTAAACCCGGGAGGCGGAGCTTGCAGTGAGCTGAGATCCGGCCACTGCACTCCAGCCCGGGCGACAGAGAGAGACTCGGTCCCAAAAAAAACAACAAAAAAACCAAAATGTCTTTATATCTTCAATCTCATTATACAGCAAAAGAGGGAGGAGGCAATAACTAGGAGACATAGATATATTGATGGATGTTTCAAAAATTATTTTTATTGTTACATTCCAAAGAGGATATAGGAAGAAAAAAGCCAATAATGGTTATACCTTTCAGAAGAGGCACCCACAACCCGAGCCCTAGTTCAAAGCTGCACACATTGGAGTTCAAACAACTGCCTCTCAACACAACCGGAAATGCTGACAAATGTGTATATATTATAAATCCAGGGAGGCTCGGGTTTAAAATAAAATTTATTTATTGCAAGTGTCCAAGTCCTTAGGATTTGTCCTTAAAGGTACTAGAAGATGATGAGTAAGACCACACACACCAAGACTATGTCTAGTCTTTACAGTAAACTAGCAAATGGCCAGTTTGTTCTAGGATGCATTGCATCAGACATCACAGTACATGAAGAAAATCTGCTTTTTGTGAAAAGCCACCAGGCATTTCAGA